GGCCAAACCCCGGCGCGCAAGACGCTGCTATCGCATCGCGTTCCATCATCTGGGGACCCCAGTGTGCTCGCACCAGAGGTCGCTGTGGCAAAAGGTCGCTCTCGCATGTACGGCAGGTTCGTGTCGTGCCGACCCCAGCGTTGGTTTTTGACACCGCAGGGATCATTCAACCTTGAACGATCGGCCGCTGCCGCAACGTCCGATCGTTCAACCTCGATCGATTCTGGGTCGCCGGCGGCGTTCAACCTTGAACGCCCGCGCTGGGGTCGCGGCTGGTCGACACGACGCAAACCTACCGTAGCCGATGACAGGCCCGCCCACCGTCCGCCCCGCCTGTAGTCGGCCCGGCGAAGCTCTCGCCGGTCCTGCCCGTCGCCCCGACGGTGCTCGTCACGGGCGGGCTCCCCTCGGCGATCCTCCCGCCAGGCGTCGCGCCCTGGGCCTGCACGGTCCTCCCGCCTATCGTCACCGCGCCTATCGTCGCGGCCAGGGGCTGCCCGGTCGTCCCGCTGGTAGTCGTCGCGCCCGGCGGCCCCCCGGTCGTCCCGCCGGTAGTCGTCGCGCCCGGCGGCCCCCCGGTCGTCCCGCCGGTAGTCGTCGCGCCCAGCGGCCCCCCGGTCGTCCTGCCGGTAGTCGCCGCGCCCAGCGGCCCCTCGGTCGTCCCGCTGGTAGTCGTCGCGCCTAGGGGCCGCAGCACGGTCCTCTCGCCGGTAGTCGTTGCGCCCTGTGGCCGCGCGGTCGTCCTGGCGGTGGTCGTCGCGCCTGACATCGCCTCGACCGCCTTCGGGGCGGGCGTTTTGATGGTCGTCCCTATAATCCGCTGACTCCTTTAAGCCAGGAGTGGAAACAGAGGGGGAGGACAAGGGGGAGGAGGGCGAGTGCGAGGGGTGGAAGAGCTGTTGCTATTCCTCCATCTTCTCCTCCATGCGATTCTCGCTGATTCCTTCGACGTCACATTCGGCTCACACGAACCACTATCAGCCGTCGTTGTCAGACACCAATCAGCATCCCTCCCGATCCATCCATATCGCTCCTCATTTGGGCTCATCCCCTATACCTCAGAAGTCCTCATGCTCCCTCCCACACGGTAACTCCTCTGGCCTTTTAGTTCCTCCTTGTGCCCGATCATCCTTCACCATCCCTCCTCTTCAGGCGTCCTTCCTCCTCGCCCCTGCTCCCTCGCGATCATCATCAGCAACATCAGCACCGACAACAGCATCATTATCATCACCACCATCATCATCAGCATCATCATCATCACCACCACAATCATCATCACCACCACTCCACCACAACCACCATCATCATCACCATCATCATCAGCAGCACCACCATCATCATCATCACCATCATCATCATCATCATCGTCATCATCAACACCATCATCATCGTCCTCCCCCTCCTCATCATCATCCTCATCATCCTCATCACCATCGTCAACAATAACAACATCGTCATCCTTCTCCTCTTCCTCCTCCTCTTCCTCCTCCTCCCCTTCTTCTTCCTCCTGCGTCCCTACTCACAGAGCGAACAAAACTCAATATTACGTCACGCTCCCTTGCAGGCTCCTGGGCGAAAGTGCGCAACGAAACGCGTAGGCAATCCAACGACCCATGCAGTGCTTCAGTTGAACTACAGCCATCGCCTCACACGGAGCTGCACTGGTAATGAATTGTCCTCTCTCCTCATCATTATCCTCCTCCCTCCTCGTCCTCCACTATCCGCCTACATCCGCCACAGTCTCTCCTCCTCCACCTCCTGTTGACCTCCCTCCTCCGTATCTCTTTTCATCCACCTCTCCCACCCCTCATCCTCCCTTCCTCCCTCATCCCTCCCTCCTTCCCAGTTGCTCGCGTCCCACCCTCCCCGATTCCCTCCTCCTCCCTTCTCCCTGTTACGGTCGGGATGCTTGCTCAGCGTGACGCCGCGGCGGCCCCGGCAACACGCTACGCCCTGCGAGCGGATAGCGAGTCGCTCCGCTCAGCCGGGCGGGAGGCTGGGGAAAGCTCGGGACGTTGACGCCAGGGGACCGGGGAGTGGTTAGCGTGTCGCGACGAAGAAGCGTGGTGGGCCAAAACTGGCGGCGCGGCACGCCAAGCCAAAGTTCCTGACCGTGATCCTCCTCCCCCTCCTCCTGATCCTCCTCCCTTTCCCTCCTCCTCCACCTCCTGGGCCTCCTTATCCTCCCCCTTCCTCCAACCCTCCCTCCCTCCCTCCCCCCCATCCTCCCCTCCTCCCTCAATCCAACTTTCTCTCCGTCCCTCTGTCCTCCCCCCCCTCCCTCCCACCCTCACCAAGGAAGCCTGGCGGGAGCCGCTCGAACCGCTATGCCCCTGCCGCCGATCGTCCGGTTTTCGCCGATCGTCCTGCCGGGGAGGGGGAGGAGGCTCGACACGCCCGACGTCTCGCCGGTCGTCGCGGCGGTCGTCGCGGCGGTCGTCGTGCGGCTGTCGCCGATCGTCCTGCCGAGGCGGGGGAGGAGGCTCAACGCGCCCGACATCTCGCCGGTCGTCGCGGCGGTCGTCGTGCCTTGGAGGCCACCCAAAGGAGGACCAGGGAGGACGAGGGCGATGGTGGGGGAGGGGCAAGGAGGAAGGACGAGGGAGGGGAGGCAGGACGAGGGAGGACGGGGAGGAGGGAAGAGGAGCGGTAAGACGAGCAGGAGGAGGGCGCAGACCGCCGGATGAGCTCGGAGGGTCGCGAGCCATCGGCAGTGCAATTGGAAATGCGTCGGCGCCGTCGAGCTCCAGGTGGCGCCGAATCGCCGATGCATCGGCGGTGCGGCGCGATCCTGCGACCCCCATCCGCTGAGCCCCTGTTTTGGCGGCCTGCATACCTGGCGTCCCGCCGCTGGTCTCGCTGGTCGTCCCGGCGGTCTACGTATCCGCCGTTGCCCCCCAGGAAGGGCAGTTGGCAGTTCTGTTCTCGTTTTGCGCTTCGCGAAGCGTGAATGGCTTCGCGCTCTCCCGCAGCCGCCCCCGCCTTCCCCCCCCTCTGCGAGGGCAGTTGGCAGTTCTGTTCTCGTTTTGCGCTTCGCGAAGCGTGAATGGCTTCGCGCTCTCCCGCAGCCGCCCCCCCCTCCCCCCCCCTCTGCGAGAGACGAGAAGGACGAGGGGAGAACGACGAGGACTCGCGAACCGCGCACCGCGAACAACTTCGCGCCCTCACGGCGGCTTCGCCAGGCTGCGCTGACCACATGTGTATATATATCTATACACACATGCTCTGCGCACTCTCACTTGCCAACGTGGATGCGTTTTCCAGCGAGGTAGCAGGCTGCCGAGGGTGACGACACCAGGTCCCTGAGGTGCCTTCTGCGAACGAGCCTATACACGAGCGCGCTCGATCCCACAACGACATGGTCATGCAAGTTGATAGAAAGAGGCGGGCGGAGGGGCGGGATGGGCGGTGCACCTGAGCGAGATGCCAACGGACGTGGGCCTCTGACAACGGGCGGCTGCGCTGAACATGTTTAGAGCACGAACATTTCAAAAACTGAGATCTGCTCTGTGCACTCTCTCTTGCCTACGTGGATGCGTTTTCCAGTGAGGTAGCAGGCTGCCGAGGGTGACGACACCAGGTCCCTGAGGTGCCTGCTGCGAACGAGCCTATACACGAGCGCGCTCGATCCCATCACCCCGAACAGACTCTGGCTTAGCCGCGTGAGCTTGTCTCTGAAACAAGAACAGATTTTGTTTCACCCCAGCTACATTGATAAAGCCGTCAGATGTCCTAGCTGAATTTGGTTAGCGGCCTCCTTGGGACGTTCCGCGGCGCGTCCTCCTGGCATGTTCCCCTGTCAATTAGCTCTGGGGCAGCTACTATGTGCTGAGGCAGCTCGAGCTGAAGATCCAGATCAGTTCGGTCAGAACTCGGATGCAAAGGAGGACTCGATCCATGACGCTATAGAGCACAACCGCGGCATGGCACATCTCAATTCAGCACGGCGCTGCACAGCACAACCCTCGGCACGGTACATCAATATCGATACACTCAACTTTGCATTTGCCCGTCGCCCAATCAAGTTGTGACAAAGTGTCTTTGAAACGCCGCCATGCCTTACATTTCTATATTCCTTTCCGGGTTCGTGGGTCGATCATGTTGGCCAGTCTGGGGGCTCACTTCGGCCGTCCCGGGTCCCTTTTGGCCCGTTATGGGGAAGTGAGCCCGTTTGGGGGCCCTCTTGGGGCCCCCTCCAAACATGTAGGGATCCTCTGGTGGCCGCCTCGGGCCCCCTGGGGACTCTCTTGGGGCCATCTTGGGGCCCAAAGACGGCCCAAGAAAGCCTCCACGACTGCCCTGGAGCATTCCAAGAGGGCCCAAAGTCGGCCCAGAGAGGCCCCCAAGACGGCTTCCGACGGCGTCAGACTGGCCAGGAGCCCACCAAGACGGCCGAAGATGGCGCTAAGATGGCCCAAGACGGCCCAAGATGTCTCCAAGAGGGCATCCAGGAAGGCCCGAAGAGGCCCAAATCAGGATTTGTCTTTCTAGTTGTTTAAAAGATGTTGGCATGTGCATCTTTTCGGCCTACCGACGGCCCGAGACGGCCCAAGAGCTTCCAAAGATCGCCCCAAGATCGCCTAAGAGGCTTCCAGGATGACCCGAGAACGGCCCAAGAGGCCTCCAAAACGGCCCGAAGAGGGCCCCAAGACGGCCAAAGAGGCCTCCAAGACGCCCAAGAAGTCCTCCAAGACGGCCCAGGAACACCCCAAGAGGGCCCAAAGTCGGCCCAGAGAGGCCGCCAAGACGGCTTCCGACGGCGTCAGACGGGCAAGGAGCCCACCAAGATAGCAAAAGAGGCCCCCGAGAAGCCCCCGAAGGCATCCAAGAGGCCCAAGGAGGCCCCCAAGATGCCTCCAAGAGGCTCCCAGGAAGCTCCCACGAGGCCCCAAGAGTGTCCCCAGAAGCTCCCAAGATGCCCCCTGCTCCTCATCCAACTCCTCCTCCACCTCCTCCTCCGCCTCCTTCTTGTCTTCCCCGCCATCCTCCCCCAAGTGTTCCCCGAAGGGTTTCCACAACGGTTTGGGAAACACATCGTCCGATAGCTGTGCAGAGCTCTTGCCACAACGCTCGGCCACATGGGCGATTCTACAAGGCAAGGGACGGCGGTGATTCGCCGTAGGCGTCTTCGATCCGTCGCCCCTGCCACATGGGTGCCCGGCGTGCTAGATCCTACTGGTTTGCGAATGGTTCTTTTTCCAAAAGAACTCTCTCCTGGGGCTTCGGCCCGTCCCGCCGGCCACCCGGAAGGGACCGGAAACGAGCACAACGTCCGCCAAAAATCCCCTAAGACGGCCCAAGATGGCCTCCAAGAGAGCCAAGATGGCCCAAGATGGCCTCTAAATTCACCCAAGATGGTCCAAGATGGCCTCCAAGACGGCCCAAGAGGGTCCAAGATGCCTCCAAGTCCGCCTAGGTAGCCTCCGGGACTGCGCCGGAGGCTTTTCCAATCTGTTGTCCGGCCTGTCGTCGCGCCTGACGTCACGCCTGTCCTCGTACCTGGGAGCACGCGAGGCGACACAGAGTCAGCGAAAGAGGGAGGAAGGGGGGGAACTCCAGCCATCCCTCCCTCCTGGCCTCGCTCCCTCCCGCCCCCCCTCCTCCCTGCACACCTGGAGGCAGAACGGATGGGGCGAGGGGTGCAGCGCAGAGCTGGGAGAGGAAACGCTCCTCTGCGTAGCATAGGCCGGGGTCCACGGCATCACATGTACAGGGCTGTCGGCCATGAACTGACACAGCTTCCCCAGTCTATGGCTGTCGCCCAGGGCCGTCGACAAGCCATGACATCGACAGTCCACGACGGTGTCAATACGGCGAAAGATGGCCCCAAGAGGCCTCGAAGATGGGCCCCGATCCCTCCCAAATGCCCCTGGAACCCCGAATATGTTTCAAGACGAGAACACGACTTCTGAGACGCCACAGCCGGTCCGGAACAATTGCACAGGACGTGCCCAACCCACCCAAGACGATTGGCAGCACCCTGGGAGGCGAGGTATCACTTGGATGCTCGCACTGGGGCGCACCGCTAGACCCCCAAGTGGCTCACGATAATGCTGACAGCTCGACGCCTCGGCAGCACCCAAAAAGGCCCAAGGCGCGAGTCCTAGCTAGGATCTGCGGAAGGAGGCGATACGCTGGACCCCTTCATGGCGCAGGGGAGTGGCAGCAGCTCTGCATTTCGGCAGCGCGCGGGAGGGGCCAGGTCCAGTCTTGGTCTGCGCGGAGCTCTCCCCACCGTATCTCACAATCCTAGGGGAGTGATGACCCCTGACGGGGCGAGGTGCAGTTCAGGTCTGCGCTAAGGGCCGCTCCGCTGGACCCCCAAGGGGCGCAAGGAAGCGGCCACGGCTGCTGGCTGGCAGCATCCAGTGGGTCGAGGTCCAGTCTGGTCTGCGTGGGGCGGCACCCCGCTGGACTCCCCCGGGGCCAAGGAAATGGCAACACTCCTGGGCACACTGAACGCCACTCCGCTGGACCCACCCGAAGCCCAGGACGGTGGTGACAGCTCTTCGCCTGGCAGCACCCACAGGGCGGGGTATGGTTTGGGTCTGTGCGAAAGGGAGCGCTCTGCTGGACCCCCAGAAGGGCGGGGACGCGGCCGCAGGTGTAAGTGTGGCCATAGACACGGGGCCGATGTATAGCTTGGCTCTGCGCACAGGGAGCTTCGCTGGACTTCCGAAAACCAAAGAGGGGGCGCCCCGTTGGAATTCCCAGGGAAGCAAGCGAGCGGCCAAGGATGTGCGCTTGACCGCACCCAGAAGGGCCAGGTCTGGCCTGGGTCTGCGTTAGGGGGGGAAGTGCGGCGGACGCCCCCAGAGGCGCACCAGCGCGGCAGCACTTCTGCACACTTCGCCAGCACCCACGGGGCTGGGCCTAGTCCGGGTCTGCATGGGGCGGCGCACCGCTTCACCCCCCGAGGGGCTCAGGAGAGCGGTGAGCGGTCGACGCTCCGGCAGCATCCCCAGGGGGAGGCGCTCCGCGGGGCACCTCAAGAGGCGCAGGAGATGGCGGCGGTTCTATGCTTGTACCCCCCGGGCGGGAGGCCGACGAGAGCAAGGAAACGCAGGAAATCAGGGAGCAAGCAAACGCAAGAAGAACAGAGGAGGGAACAATACAGAGGAGAAAAGGTACGGAGCCGGCTGGACGCAGGAGAGGAAGCGGGAGGGGGAAGACGAGGGGGGGGGAGAAGGAGGGAGGAGTCAGGAGTCAAGAGTCAGGAGGGAGGCGGATGGAGAAGGAGGGACGAGTCCGCCCTGTGCCAGGAGGCAAAGCACAAATGGTTTTGCTTTGCCCAGTGCCAGGAGGACGAGGAAGAGGAAGATGGGAAGAGGGGGAAGAGGGGGAAGAGGAGTAGGAGGAGGAGGAAGAGGAAGAGGCGTGGGAGGAAGCAGGAGGAGGACGACGACGACGAGCCTGCCCAGGAGGAAAGAGGAAGTGGAAGGAGGAAGGAGCGTGGAACAACATGTTTTGTATGACGCTGGCTTATTGCCGCGATTGAGA